GAAATGGGTATCGGGTAAGCGACTAGACGTACCTGCAACAGACCTCTCTTCCCTTCAACCAGGCGCCCTGATTCCGAAGGTGCCTTGAGCAGAGCAGCTGACAAGCTCTGGCTACTGTGCGAACCGATACGGAGCTCAGAGCTGCCTGTTCCTACCGCTGGCTTTCGGCAGAGTGTAAGAGAACGTAAATCCCACATCTGTAGGAAGGGTTCCGGGAAGCTCTCCCGCAGCGGGACCCAGCACCCAGGGAGGAGTCAGCATCCCATGCTGGGAGGCTCCACGCATCTGCTCGACCCGCCACACACCCTCGTTTCTGCTGTAATGTAATCTGCTCGTCTGAATACCTGGGTGCCACAGTGCTGGGCGCCATCGAGAAGGACCACGAGAGAGATGGATAGATGTATTTTGATTTGATAAGGCAAATCAGATTAAACTAACGGTATTTCAGATATTTTTCTGAATACATTTTTATCTTAGGAACTCACTACAAAACACGGTTGCAACTTGGCCTGGCTAGAGTTGAGAGACCCTGGCCAGAAGAAGTCAGCGGGCGGTGGTGGGCGGTGACGATTAGGAGATGATCGTGCTTTAGCTTTGTGCGGTCAGCTCCTCACACAGAGTCTGTACAGCGGCTTCACATTCGTGGTCTTTTTATATTTTTTTAAATTGATTTTTAGATAGGAAGGGAAAGGGAGAGAAACATTCACCTGCTGCCTCCTGCACGCCCCCTACTGGGGATCGAGCCTGCATCCCGGGCATGTGCCCTGACCGGGAATGGATCCAGCGACCTCCTGGTGCATGGGATGATGCTCAACCTACTGAGCCACACTGGCTGGGCAATGGTCTTTTTTCATTTTTGTCCTTACAAATATCCCAGGAAAGAGGTAAGATAAGGAGTACAGTCTCTGTGGACAAGTCCTTAGAAGAAAGAACCAGAGTTGCTTAAGCCCAGAACAGTGCCAGCCCATCACCTACTCTGCTCTGGCCCTCCCGCTGCCTCCGTGCTGACCTGGATGCTGTCTGAGGGGTGGGGATCACATCTGAAGCCCCCAGGCAGGGTTGACCTGAGGCAGGCAGCCGCTGGTCCAGAGGCTTTCATTTCCGCAGGAGGCCAAGTGACATAGGCATAGACCTGTGGAAGATTCTAGAAAATAGTGCCCCTTACTCACCAGATCCCTGAACTGAAGCTAAGCTCTCTCTGGGGGTGATCCAAGGAAGTGGTTCCTTTGTGGTCAGACTCAGAACCCCTGCCTCTCACTCTCTTCACTTTAACGGGGACATGGTTATGGTAGAGGACGTTCAGATCAGCCAGCGTGGGGCAGGCAGGAGCAATCACTGCATTTAAGGAAGTGTTGACAAGACGCCTGGTATAGAGAAGATTCAGGGTGGCATGGCAGTATCTGTGAACACTTGAGGGAGTATCAGAAGGACTAGGCAGAGCAGAAAGGACCACATGTTGGGGGAAGTTTTTGAACATGAGTGTTCTCCAAAGATGATAACGAGTGAGTTCTCCAGCACTGGAGATATTTAAGTGGACACAGAGAACTGAGCAAGGAGGTAGCTAAGGAGGAGGAGCAGTTAGGTTGACCAGAGGTTCTCAAGTTGGGGTGATCACCTCACCAAGAGAATGTGAGCAATGTCTGCAGACATCTGAGTGGTCACAACTGAGGGGGACTATTAGCATCTATTGGGTAGAGGCCAGGGATGTTGCTAAACATCTTACAATGCCCAGGAGAGATCCCACAACAAAGAATTATCCAGCCCCAAAATATAAGCAGTGAGAAGGTTGAGATGCCCTGGAGAAGGTAAACTGTGAGTGTGGAGTCCGGGGTAATCTCCCCTCAATCTGTCCTGTAATTCAGAAGACCACAGAAGGTAATGCCAAGAATGTCCAGATTTCAAGGAGGATTGTGCAGTCGGATATTCAAGTGCACAAATCTCAGAAATATATTTTCGGTTTCAGATACTGTGGGCTATATTTTGGGACTCTGGCCATCCCTACTGCAGCCCAAACTATGAAGCTGTTATTCTCCAAAAAAACAAATATATGGGTTCCCACCACTTCCACCTACTTCCACATATGAGTTGGAAGCAGGGTGCACAAATCTAGAGGCTGGGTGGGGTGGAGAGTGGGAGGAGAATAGTTGAAAACATGTAGAGGCATCCACAGTGGGGTTTCACCCAAAGGCCTGTAAAAATTATCCCTGATTATTTTAAATATACTTTTCATGCCTTCTGGGTGTTGAAATGTACCAACCACTACAAAAATCCTGGAATTACAAAGGACTTCATTTTCACCAGATTTACCACACTCAGAGCTTGAGAATCAGATGGATCTGAGATCAGCTCTGGGCTCTGCCTATTACCATCTGGGCATCAGGTAAGTTATCTAACCTTTCTGAGTCTCAGTTTCCTCATGTATAAAACCAGACAGATGACATCTTTGTCACAGGACAACTGCGAAGGTTACATGAGCAGATGTAGGTACAACCACATGCCCTGCCTGGGGCATAATGCTTCCTAAGTGGCAGCCATTAGCTGTATGATCATCTCCCTAGGGGATCAAAGTAGCACGTGGCATTGGGTTAAGCGCTGATCAACAAAACGATGCCATCTTCAAATTCACAATCTAAGACAAAAATTAGCTTGCCCTCATTATAGTTCTCTATTCTTATTAATTAAAACAAATAAGAAGCTGCCAGTGAGTAGCTACACATGACCTCCATTAATCCTCCTAATACCCTGGGGAGGGAGGCATTACCAACTCCATTTATAGATGAAGACACTGAGGCAGAGGCCACATGACTGGCCTGTGGTTACACAGGAGCTCCTCCTGGCAGAGGCAGAGTTAGAACCCAGATGTGAGCAGGACACCATGTGTCCTGTTCTCCCCCATTGCCCTTCTCAGCCTGCTTCTTTGCTGGGGCCTGCACCTGGGCACCTCACTGTGGCAAGGCCTGCCCTCAAAGCTCCATGGGCACCAGCGTTGACATAACCAGTTAGCACAAATGACTCCCACCTGGAATCCCTTTAGGGGGATGATAGAGACGCGCTACTTGTTTTTCATATGTCAGAAAGCCACCCTAAAAACACACATGTACTCTTGGTGAAGCCTGAAAAGATGAACTAAAAAAATGCAATGTGTCATGGATTTAAGCGGGAATTATGCACATCCACTCTCTGTGGTGATTCTGGTCATTCAACTGAGTAGAGACTCTGATGGACGGTCCCTATGTCGTTGATGGACAAAAATGGGAAATCTAGACTGTTTTACAGTAAAAAGTCCAACCTCAAATTAACCAATGTCATTCCAGTAAATTTATTAATATTAATCCAGGAAATTTATTAAAAGTCCACCCTGAACTCCGTAGGAGAAATAAAAATGCCTTTTGTGCCGAAATGTCTGGGAATCACTAAGTAAAAGGACCAGCACCAATCAGAGAATTTCAGGGACAAAATGACATGTGCTCGAGGATCTGGGGACAGGGCCATTGTGCATGAATGATGCATTCAGGCACCCTCCCTGCCCACTTCTTTTACGGGAACACTGCCCTGCCCAGTGCCCTGTGAAGTGGACATGCCACACCTGTCACTGTGTGTTCCTAGCCCCTGACAAAAGTTGATGGGACATTTGGGACTTACTCATCTATAAGCTGTTGAGAAATCTCTAACCTGTGTGACTGGGTCAAAACAAAGAGCCCAAGAATGTTCAGTCATGCAATGTGCACACGAAATCGTCTAAGAAAGGCACAAATGCATTGATTCACCATATATTATGAGAAAATCGCACAATTTCAGTTTAATCGGTATCAACACCCATACTGACATGTAATACCAGGGACCCACCAGCAAGACAATTCATGGGAGCTGGTGAGGAATAGGCCTGCAGGAACACAGATATACCCCCTCTGGCAGCCGGGGAAGGCAGCCACAGCACCCCACGTCTGTTTACTGTGGCACTGCTATGGTGCCTATCCCCTTAGTATCCATGGCATCGAAAACCCAGGGAGCTGGGCCTGTGACCACTCTTCACATCCGAGAACAGTAAGGACAGAAGAAAGTTGAGCAACTCTGGGAGGTGTGTGATAGCAGTGAGGGACAGCTCCAGCTTCCTGGTAGACCAGCCTGGGGAATTAACATAAAAGCTTTCTCTGGGTATGGAAGTGGTATGCTAGTGAAAGGGGCAGGGTGTGTAGAATTACCGTCAGCTCTGTTCGAAGAGCAGATTCTTCCTGTCCCATCCTCCATCTCACAGTAGAAGTGGGCAGGCGCGCCCTGAAAACCCGGCTGGCGAGGGTATTGCTGCTGCTGGTGGTGAGCAGGGTTGGGTGCCCAGAGGAGACAGGAGTCTGGAGGTCTGCGGGCTGGTTCTTCGAGGAGAAAGGTGGCTCATGGAGTGGAAAAGGCCTGAGAATCAGAAGTCCTTGCAATCCCGGTTCTAACCCACTTCCAGCAAAGCCGAACCAAAAAACGATTTACCCTTTTTGCACATCCCTCTGCACCCCCACCCCTGGGATCCGGCCTCGGCCTCGGGGTCACCGCTGCCCCTTGCAGGCTCGGAAGGCAACTAACAGGGGAGCCACCCAGGTGAGGCCGGGGAGGGAGGAGTTCGCTAAATTGTGTTGGAGCGAAGGCGTCGACCATGGGGAGAATTAATCTAATGGAGGGAAGGCGGATGGAGCTCTGGGGGAAAGGGAGAGGGACAATGTACCCTCAGCCTTTTCATTACCCGGCGGGAAGATGGATGGTTTTCAGGAACGGTTGTCCAGGCGCCACGGCTCGCTATAGGGACACGTCAGAGCGCTCGGATCTGCGGTGGAGGAGCCCCCAGCCCCCCCGCCCGGCCTCCCCTATAAAGTCGGGGCCTGGTAGAGGCTGCAGCAGTGGCGCGGACGACGGCGGAGCTCCTCCGGGGTCCTGGTCCTGCGGTCGCTCCTTGGCTGGGAGAGCGCGTCTCCGCCCGGCCTCTCCGCGCGCTCCAAGGGCTTCCCGTCGGGACCATGCGAGGCCGCGAGCTGCCGTTTGTCCTGCTGGCGCTGGTCCTCTGCCAGGCTACCCGGGGACCCGCCGCCCCGGTGCCGGCGGCCGGGGAGACCGTGCTGGCCAAGATGTACCCTCGCGGCAACCACTGGGCGGTGGGTGAGTGTTCGGTGGGCACTAGTCCTCGGCGGGACAAGCCAGAGTTGGGGGGCCATCTCCCCATCTCTCAGCGTTTCTGGGGCTCGGCTTTGGGGCTGGGTTTGCTCCGACCTTTCTCCCAAAACTCCACCCCACCCTTCCCCATCCTGGGAAGCCGTCGGTCCCTGAACAGCCGCGGGCCGGTCCCTTGGTCTCCCCTCTTCCCCAGGGCACCAGAGCCAGTGCGCAGCTCTCCAAACCCTGCGCGAAGATCACCTTCCCTCCGCACCTACCCAACACCTCTTTACCCGGCACCATTTTCGCTCTGAACAACTTTGGGAAGCGGGTGCCTGAGCGCGTCTCAGATCCCCGGTCCAGCCCGGCGGCCTCGACTCCGAACTGCATGAACCCAGACTGCGCCTTTGTGCGGGGCAAAGCCGCAGGTGGGGGATCGGGGCGCCCGCGCCAGCGCCCGCCCTGGGTTTCAAATCTGTTCAGCGAGCGGTGCCTGAATCCCGCCTCTGTGGCTCTTCTGAATTTTCTCAGTCCTTCTGCCTCTGCAGGAATTGTTTTTCCTCTGCCCTACTGCCCAACCCTCCCTCTTTCCATCCTGCAGTCTCGGCGCTCCGGGAATCACGCCTGATCTCCACTTTGATCCAGGGCGCTCTGTCCCCTGAGCTCCGCTTTTCTCCACCTTTCTGGACCTACGACCTCACCCTCTCCCCTAGCTCCTTTCTCTTATCCTCTGCCAACAAGTCCTACTCTCCAGGTACAGGCTTGGAGGTTCGCTTGTTGCGGCCCCGGGACCCCCAGCGGCAAGAGCTGGTCGCGCAACCACGGCTCTCCCGTAACTGGTAGGCAGGTAGTGGTTCTGAAGCTTTCCACGCACCCAGTGCCACCCTGGGCACTCTGCCACGACATGCATGGCTTCTGACAAATGCAAAGTGCCCAACTTCCTCAGAAATCTCCCCATAAAGCCAACTACAGCAACCCCAACATTTCCTAGGGGGCTGGTCATTCCTAAAGAGATTTAAGGGGGGCAGTAGTGGTGGTGGTGGTGGTAATGGTGATGGTGGTGGTGTTTGGTGGTGGTGGTGGTGGTGATGGTGGTGGTGGTGGTGGTGATGATGGTGATGATGGTGATGGTGGTGGTGTTTAGTGGTGGTGATGGTGGTGATGGTGGTGGTGGTGGTAGTGGTAGTGGTGGTGGTGGTGGTGTTTGGTGGTGGTGGTGGTGGTGATGGTGGTGGTGTTTGGTTGTGGTAGTAGTGGTAGTGGTGTTGGTGATGGTGGTGGTGGTGGTGGTGGTGATGGTGTTGTTGTTGTTGGTGGTGGTGATGGTGGTGGTGTTTGGTTGTGGTAGTAGTGGTAGTAGTGTTGGTGATGGTGGTGGTGGTGGTGTTTGGTGGTGGTGATGGTGGTGGTGGTAGTGGTGGTGGTAGTGATAGTGGTGGTGGTGGTGGTGGTGGTGGTGGTGATGGTGGTGGTGGTGGTGGTGGTGGTGTTTGGTTGTGGTGGTAGTGGTGATGGTGTTTGGTGGTGGTGGTGGTGATGGTGGTGGTGGTGGTGGTGATGTTTGGTGGTGGTGATGGTGGTGGTGGTGGTGATAGTGGTAGTAGTGGTGGTGGTGGTGTTTGGTGGTGGTGGTATTTGTGTATGTTGGTTTCTGTTTCCTTAGCCATCTATTTAAGGCGGGGGTAAGGTGTGTGGGAAAGATACTTGCTAATTCATATATATCAGACAAATCTCACTCTCTGTGTCAAGGTGGGGACGAATTTATGAAAAGGGATAAGGCTTGAACTGTTACTTCCTCAGCATTTCCATGTTTTGTATACTTCTGTCCAAGAATTGGACAGCTCCTGGTTGCAACAGAGTAGTTTTCATTGTCACTGAGTCATTTGCAAGTCTAACAGCCTCAGGGATGAAAGTATTTGTGATCTCAGGTACATGGGGACCCAGGAGTCTGGCATGGAGAGAAGAAGTTGAGATTGTTGAAAATTAAAAATAGAACAAACAAAAAACTGTCCTCAAGAAAGAACACTTGGTGTTAAAGAAGCCAAACCTAGAACTGATATTTAAAAGGGCTGCTGGGACCTTAGATCTAGCAGCCATTGTCCAGTCTGGCTACCAGCTGGTGGAGACTGGGAAGGTGACACAAAGCTTCCAGATTTTGAACCTCTTTTGCTCATCATATTTCTTGTACTAAAAAGGCTTTAGTATTAGGTAATCCTCGTAGGCCAAAAGGAGGACGAGAGAGTTAGCTGGGAAGCTAGAACCATGTTATTTCTGGTGTAAGCCGACCCTGATTGCTGAGCTCCAGACACATCTGTGCCCAAGCAGTTAGGGTGTCTGACCTCTAATCACCCTTTGAGGTGGTGCTTGGCATTCCTCACCCACAGGCACACGGACCAGGCACAACCTTACACTTCCTTATCGCTCTCAAACACACTCTTTTCCCTTTTTCTCCCTTGGCTGGCTGTGCAGAGTTGAAGAAGAATAAAGGAAAGAGAAAGGGGAAGGAGAAACTCACACTTGGGTCTAAAATGACTTGTGGTTGAGCAAAAGTTGCCTTGGGCTGACGTGCTCTGACGGAATGTGAGTGTTCATGAGCATGGACGATGTTGGGTTTGAAATTCAGATTGCCACTCTCCTACGTAAATGCCTGTCGTCCTCAGTCACTGAGGACATGCCGGTGAGTTTTAATTACATCAGACCAAAGCTGCACATCGCTGCCCGCGAGGAGGTGGTCAGCACAGAGCGGCAGACCTGTTAAGTGAACTGCACCTCCCGGCTGAGAGAAGCATGGTATGGCAATAGGATGCATGTCATCACATCGAAAACTTAACAAATCCTTACCTAGCTTGAAGTGCTTGGAGATGTTTTTGTGTGTGTGATGGCAAGATAGCTCAACACTAGCACTGGTGGCGGCTCTGACTTTGATCTGAGCCATGCCCTGGAATTCTGAACACCGTGTTCAGGAGAGGCGTGACCTTGTCGCATGGCTTCAGAAATACCAGCTCCTAGAAGTACTCAGCATTTTGTCTTCATGGGTGGTTTCCTGAGTTGGGCAATCTTCAAGTTTTGAGTTCAAGAAAATTCATTTGTTTCAAACCTGCCATTTTAGTGATTTGTTTAAGTGATTAAAAAGGACAAAAGCTTTTTTCCCCTCTCTGGGCACAGTTTTATTCTTTTCGTGTGCCTGTCTTTTATCTGTGCTGAGTTCTCCATTATTATGATATGAATGGATAGCAAAAGATGATGGGAGAAGAGGTGGAAGTGGGCCTAGCACCCATGTTGCCATGGAGATGATTATTTGGTGGACAGTTGCCAGCTCACCAGTGAAATAGGACCCAGGGAATGTGCACTTCGCTGAGATGTCACAGATGGCACCCTCTCCTTAATGACCAGTCTGTGGACCTGGGGAACCTTGACTGAACATGACCCACCCACCAAATATGCAAATAATAAAAAGTCCAAAAAAAATGTCACAAGAATCTGTGTTAAATCAATTCCAGAATGATTTTAAGAAAAGTCCACAGAATTATTCAGGCATGACAAAAATACAGTTCTTGTTTGTGGAAACATCTCGAGTGCCCTCTGTTCCATTGGCAGCAACGCCTTCCTCCTTCCCAGCAGGCTAACAAGAGGAGAGGGTAGGCTGCAAGAGCCACCGAGGTCATTATTGGGAGCATCAGATTCTAATCCTGCTTCTTCCATCATCCTGATTTGATTTTCTCCATGTAAATAAAGCCAAATGCCTCGCTGCTTCCCGGGAAGCTGTGCAGCAGCATCACTGTCACTGCCAAACGCACGACTGTTTAGTGAACATCCGGGCACGAGGCTGCCCGAGCAGTAAGTGAGGAGCCAGTCATTCAGGATTCCCTCAGCTGGGACAGTGTCCTCCGTACGTGTGACATGCCCTCAGTGTCTTGACAGGTGCTCACACAGCTGTGCAGCAAAACCTCATTTTAAGGCTCCCCAATACTCACAGAATTAATTTTCGGAGTCAGATAGTGAGTCATGACATACAGATCTATGATCCCTATTTTATTTATTTATTTACTTATTTATTCATTTTTGTAATCCTCACCCGAGGATATTTTTTCATTTATCTTCAGATAGAGTGTGTGGGGGGGAGAAACATCTATATGAGAGAGACACATCTATTGGTTGCCTCCTGCATGACCCTAACCAGGGCCAGGGACCAAACCAGAACCTTGACTGGAGTTGAACCTGAGACTCTCTGGTCCACGGGGCAATGCTCTAACCACTGAGCGAAACTGGCTAGGGCTATGATCCCTATTTTAAAAAATAATATTAGAGGACCTGGCCGGTTTTGCTCAGTGGTTAGAGCGTCGGCCTGTGGTCCAAAGACCCGGGTTCAGTTCCCGCTAAGGGCACGTACCTCAGTTGCAGTTTGTCCCTGGCCCTGGTTGGTCGTGCAGGTGGCAGCCACTTGATGTGTCCCTTTCACGTCGATGTTTCTCTCTCTCTCTCTCTTCCTCTCTCTCCCTCCCGCTCTAGCTGAATAAAAAAATGGAAAAATGTTCTCGGGTGAGGATAAAAAAGATAAATAAATAAATAATAATGATAATAATAATAACAATAATAATAATATTAGAGGCCCGGCTGGTTTGGCTCAGCAGTCAGAGCATTGGCCTGCGGTCCCAAGAGACCTGAGTTTGGTTCCCACTAAGGGCATATAACTCGGTTGCAGTTTGTCCCTGACCCTGGTTGGGTTGTGTGGGTGGCAGCCACTCGATGTGTCCCTTTTACATCGATGGTCCTCTCGCTCTCTCTCTTCCGCTCTCTCCCTTCCACTCTATCTGAACAAAAAAAAAGGAAAAATGTCCTCAGGTGAGGATAATAATAATAATAATAATATTAGGAAGCTTTTCGCAGACCTTATCCTTATTTCCAGACCCCAGAGCGAGTTCTCACTGCCTTGTATAACACGGTAAATAAGGTAGAGTCAGGGCTGTGAGCTGCTTTTACTCCTAGATCTTTGCTGAGGTGTGTGGCCGTGGCCAGTCTCCTTTCCATCAGACTTACTACAGGGCATGTGGATCAGATGCATGTGGACGACCTGTAGACAGTACGTCACAATACACAACGCAGCCACCGTGAGGGCTTCTCTGGGAAGGGTCTATTTCGTGTGACCGAGGTCAGTCATGCATTATTCCCATGATGTGTGCCTTAAACACTTCTAATGCCAGTCAACTTCGGAGCCCAGAGAGCTCTCACCTTGTGACCATTAAATCAAAAGCATGATAGTTTTATTGATATTAGAAATTTGAAAATACTATAAAAGCAGATTAGAGAGAGATGGGAAAAATCTAATGAAGAAAGTAAATAAGATAATGTGAGAATATTTAAGCAATGGGCTAACGTGTTAAGAATGAATTCCCTCCCCCCTTTGACTTATGGCTGATCCCCACTTGCATACGTGAGTTTCCACGGTTTTAGTGGTTTGACCTTCTGCACCGCAACTTGTATTAATTCACATGGCAGGTGTACATCCCTGCAGGCTTTGATAACCGTGCGCCGCCCATGGGAGACACCCACGAGAAAATCCCGCGTTTATGGGGCTGGAAAGTGTTGGTCAGAACTTGTTTTCAACTGGTTTTTCGTTACATGCTTTACAAACTGTAATTTCTAGGTACCGCTTCCTAGATTCAATCTCGGCTAAGTTCTGAGAAAGTTTAAATGAAAAATTCCTTTAGTACATTTGTATTACAGATAAGAGATAAACAACGCCTTTCTCTCTTTTGTTTAATCACACAAAGAAAAGCACCGAGACTTTTCTTTGCAGTCGCAGTTCCAAATTGGCTGGGGAGGATGTTTAAATCCCACCATTCAGCTGGGAATGGAACTCAGCGCACGCAGAATTGGTGAGAGAATTTTAGATGTGGAAGGTTCCTCAGATTTCATCTAGTCCAACCTGTTCATTTTATAGTTGGGAAATTGAAGGCTGGGGTGCTAAATGGCTTGGCGGAGGTCACCTAGCTCGTTAGCCGAGGGGCTGGGACCAAATCCCGGGCTCCGGAGCTGCGGGTCGGAATTCTGTCCAGCTCATTTCTCACTTTGAACAGAAAGCAAGACCAGTCATTTATGAACTAACCCAAGAATAAAATGTTCTTTATTCTGCATTTAAGAGCAAGTAACACAGACATAATTGGGGTGCTTTTAAATTTCTCATTCCCCCATTGCTCCGGGATAGATTTGTATCTCTCTGTCTTTGCCTTTGTTTCTCACAGGGCACCTCATGGGGAAAAAGAGCGCAGGGGAGTCCCCGGATGTCCACGAGGGGGGCAGCGTGAAGCACCAGCTACGGGAGTACATCCTGTGGGAAGAAGCTGCAAGGAATCTCCTAAGTCTCGTGGAAGGAAAGGGGACCAGAAGCCACCAGCCACCCCCACGGGGCGTCCCGCAGTACTCTCCAGTCCACTCAGGACTCCGAGGGTAGCAGCAGCCTTCCAGATGTGGGTTCAAGACTCCAAGGTGTAAGCAACCTACTGGGGAAGTGGGGGTGGGGTGGGAGGTGTTGGGAGAGTTGGAAGGCGGGGAAAGTCCAGCAGGAAAGAAAAAAATGCTTATGATGTAAGCCTTCACTGCCACACATAGGCTGACTCCAGCGACACTAAGGTCGTCGGTAGACAGTTGTGACACCATCTTTTCTTTTCAATGTAATAGATTATTTTTCCTCTTAGCACATGAAAACGCTGTAGGTTCAAAACTCCAGTTTAGGGGTTCTATTAGCAATTCTGTGTATTAGCACCTGTGCATCGATGGGATTTTTTTTTAATCCTTACCCAAGGACATTTTTGCATTTATCTTTAGATAGAGTGGGAAGGAGAGAGGGAGGAAGAGAGAGAGAAACATCGGCGTGAGAGAGACACATCGAGTGGCTGCCACCCACACGACCCCAACCAGGGGCCGGGGACAAACCACAACTGAGGTACGTGCCCTTAGCGGGAAGCGAACCCCGGACTCTCTGGTCTGTGGGCCGATGCTCTAACCGCTGAGCCAAACTGGTCAGGGCATGATGGGATTTTCTAATCTGCCAGGCCTGACCAGAATATTTTGCTAGCGAGGCCGTATTTGAGAAAATCGCTGTGGGTCTACAGATACAACTTATTTTTGATGGACACTTGCGAAAGGGTCTCTTTGTAGATGTTTTTAGAAGAGAGCATTCTTGTTTGTGACTTTTTAATGCAAAATAGTACTTCTTCAGTTTTGTTCCAAGATTACTGAGTCCACCCTAATATTTCAAAACTTGATGAACATACACCTAAGGGCAACTGATTTGTCCTGTCTATGATTTTATGGAGGACAGAGGAAAACAATCCCATCAAACTGGCAGTGTTTAGATACAAGGATAGTCAACAAGCTAAAAGAGAGAAGGAAATGTGTCGGAAGAAGACAAGGCAGCTGAAAACCAAGTGGTTCTCATGAACTGTTAGGAAGCTTCCACGGAATTTATGATAGAAGGTAAAATCAGAAATACTAGAGGTAATAATAATAAGAGGTAATTTTATCGAGCATTTACTATAAATACTGGGAGAAGCAGTTTAGCTCCATTTGGTCTCTTAATGCCCACAGCAACCTTAGGAGGAAGAGTCTGTTATTCTGTGCACTGTAGAGTCTCATGAGGGAGCAGGTCACAGCTTGTCCCTGGTGAAACCAGGACAGGAGCCTGTGGTGCCTGGACAGGGTGCCACCAGCACAGACATCTGGGGTCGGAGCTGATCTTGCACAGGAAGGGAGCACCTTGCTTCCCGCTGTCCTGGTCCTCGCGGAGCCTGGGAGCTGCCCCTTCGCCTTTCCTGGCGGCTCTTTGCTTGCCGGCCCTTGTCCAGGGCTTGGGCTGGCTTTGCCAACCCTCGTCCCCGGAGGGAGGCTCTGTGCTTCACCGCCCTTGGTCCATGGTGGATTCTTTAGGCTAAACTCAAACCAAAAGTTCCTTGTTGCATTAAGCACTTAGAATGTCTCTAGAAGCCTTTATTGAGACAGGAAATCTGGATCCAATCAACCAATACAGAAATGAGTAACAACTTCATAGAAAGCCCTGAGTGGTTCTCTTGCCCACACTTGTATGATAGGTATCATAGGTGTTATGTGACCAGTTCCACCCCACCTGTTTGATCACTGGGTTCTGAGTGTTCCAGGAGTTTGTGACTGACTTCTTAGCTTCTGGCAGGCTAGGCCCTTTCCTGCTCAAATGCTTCGCAGGACATCCCATGGATGGATGGCCAACAGCAGCGCCTTCTCTTTTGTCTGAAGAGTAGCACCAGTCACCACCGCAAAACCCTCTGAAATAACTTGACAAGCGCTGACACGGACTTACCTTCATAGCTCATTCATAAAACACACACAGTCATGGTATTCATCTGTAGCACCTCACTTTTGAACTAAACAGCAAAATCCTCTTTGAGTTGCTTTGCCCCCCAAACCTGGCTCTGCATAACTTTGGATTGTTATAAAAATTCAGCTCCCTTGCCCGGCTGGTGTGGCTCAGTGGTTGAGAGTCGACCCATGCACCAAGAGGTCTCCGGTTCGATTCCTGGTCAGGACACATGCCCAGGTTGTGGGCCTGATCCCCAGTGGGGAGCATGCAGGAGGCGGCCGATCAATGTTCTCTCTCATTGATGTTTCTATCTCTCTCCCCCTCTCCCTTCCTCTCTCTCTAAAATCAATAAAGAAAATAAAATTCAATTTCTTCCTCAAGAATGGACACTTCCCCACCATATTCAAAAGAATATTCTGTAAGCTTGAAGGCAAGGAAAAGAATAACTCCCATAAAGTATCTGAGTGACAGTGGTGTGGGATGGACCGAGGTGACCGGCACAGAGAGAGACTGCTGCGATGGGACAATATGTACCAGTGTTCAATGTGACCTGAAGGGAAAAGTTATCTTTATACTTATATATACATATATTTTATCCTCACCCAAGGATATGTTTATTGATTTTAGAGAGAGGAAGGGAGAGAGAGCGAGCAAGAGAAATATTGATTGGTTGCCTCCTGTCTGTGCCCTGACCTGGGGTTGAATCTGCAGCCTAGGCACGTGCCCTGACCTTTATATGGGACCACGCTCCAACCAGTCGAGCCACCGGCTAGGGATACTCTATAATGTATGCCTTGTTCTCTTGTTACAAGTTTAGAAAGTCCATCCTGTTTCATTCCGCCTCAAGTTGAATAATTAGCCATTGCAAACATTGGTGCCATTCTTTTGAATATGAAAAACAAATTCAACATTTAGTTTTGTATTTGCATAGACCAAAACAGCTTATCACTCCCCTGACTTTGGAAATTCCGCCTTAATGAAAGTATGCTGTCATAAAAATTGAGAACATCTTAGAATTGTCTTATTCACCAAGAGGACGTATCAAGAGAATAGTTTCTATTAGAAATCCATATATCTTTTGGCATTTTAGAAAGAAGTTTAATAACTTAGCTAGCCATGGCCAGAATTAACAGCAGGAGTTTTCAGAGGCTGAAGGACTTTTCTTAAAATTAAAAACTATCCACATATTCTCTCCTCTCCCACTTTAGTAATAAGACATCAAGTCCTGTTGCCGACTCTCCCAGAGCTGTCGTTAGAAACACTGATCATCTGTGTTTTGATGACAAGGATATCGGTTTAATTCAGAAAAGATCTATGCAAATGTGCACTGAATCTAGACTATGATATGGCAAACAAGCTCCAGAACTTCATCAGCAATATGGCCAATCATTTTCAAGGTTAACCTTCATTTTCTTTTAACTGTATCCATCTTGCAAAAATGAATGGAACTTTGATGCCGTGGTTTCCATAAAACGAAACCGTGTTCAGGTCGTAATCTATAATCCTGCATGTGGTTATGGATTGTACTGCGTTTCAATAAAGGTTGAAGTTGCCCTTTGGGTTTCTCTGGTCGTTTGGACCCGGTACGTTGCCACCTCAGGTTTTTCTCTTACTTGGTGGGCAGGGAAGGGACCTGGGGGATGCGTTGCCGAGGCTGCTACAGAAAGGAAGGAGACGTTGACAAGTTTGCCCTCACTTTCAAGCGACTGCACCCACTGTCCCAGCAAATCAATACAGAGAGTAGAAAGGTTTTACTTATTGATACGTGGAATGCTCCAAAGGAAGCTCCAAATATAGAAAAAATAACATGCAACCAAGGATAACTAAAAGTCCTCGGACCACCCTGACAGTTTCTTTGAAGGAACAGAGGAATGGTGACCCACAGCTCCTCCTCCTCACCCCCGTCCTGCCTCCAGGTCCTCGATCTTCCTGGGGTACACAATTCTTCTTTATCTTGTAGCTTTACTTCCTCTTTCTTGAGCCAAACCACTCAGATTCAATATTTTCAGCCAATGGTGTGGAGGGAGTCGGGGGGGGGGGGGCTTCTATGGATCCGATCCCACATCCTCAACTGGCCCCCTTTGTGACCTGCAGCTCATAATGCCAGACGGACGGGCAGCATCTTCAGGCAGGTCGGCAACCCTTAACAACGCGTCCTGGGCTCATGGGGAGAGCACAGCTAATTGGCTTGGGTGGGAATTGAACCCCAGGCCCGGGCCTCATTAACACCTGGCCAAGAAGCGGGCCACAGAGCAGGTAATAACCGGCCTGAGAAAATCCAGAGTTCCCTTATTAGGAACAAATGGCTGGTCTGGATGTCGGAGAACCTGAATTTCCAGAAGTATGCTCCTGAAAAGTGTATTAAGCTCTAGTCTGGATGAAAAGGGTTTTCTCCTCTCCGTGGGTAAAGGCTGCTCTATGGGAACGAAGAAGTATTTTTAAATGATAGCTTTTCATTCTTCCTTCGGTCTTAGTTCATTGGAACGGAGCCACGAGCAGCGCAGCACAATACGTTTAGAACCGGCAGAAACCCAGACGAGCTTCTCTCCCCACGCTGCCCTCACCGCCATCGTGTATAGTGGGGGAGGGGGGGGGCGGGGGGTGCTCTACAATTGTGTAATTCACAAGCTAGCTTTGATTTGTGTCATGAGGTGCTGTCCGAAGGAGCCAAGTAAGAATTAAGATTCCATATTCTCTAATAGTCCCCTACCCAGCTGCTACTTTAACAGTCATTCGTGGGGATGATACATGTAATTGTTAACATCAGTCATAATATACCTGAGTTACATCTGAGTGCAAGTTAAGCGAATATCACAAAAAGACCCCAAAATATAGCGGCTCCCCAAATAGAGGAAGTTCAGTTCTCTCTTGGGCACAGCTGTGTTTTGGGGCATCAGCTGCTCGGGCAGAATCGCCTGAGACGTGGGAAAGCACAGATTGCTGGGCCTCAGCCCCCAGGTTCCAGTTCAGCAGATCTGGGGGACCTAGGGGTGTCTCTTTCTGATTAGTTCCACGTGATGCTGATGGTTTGTTGGGAATGGACTCACTTCAAGTATCGGACTTCAACAGCACTAACTGCATTTGCTTAACTCTTTCTAATATATATATACATATATGTGTGTGTATATATACTTATTTAAGTTGTTGCTGATCTCTTCGTCCCAGGTTCTCAGCGTGAAGGAAGGAACCCCCAGCTGAACCGACAATGACGATGACAACCTCTCTCAAAGAAGCAAAACGAAACCCTTGAGAATATGTTCCACAGGCGTCAATTCTACTGGATCACCCACCAGATTTCCTTTGTGCAAAATACTTCACTGTTCTTGTAGCTTTCAACCTGGACTCAAGTCATGGTTTTCAAGCAGCATCTTCTGGTTTGAACTTGTTTGCTGTGAATAATTGTCCATAAAGAGTCTTTCAATGAATGCTCTTTGCATCTAGGCTGTGTGTCAATTATATTCCAGTCCCCGGCCTGTTAACATTCACAATAAAAGCTTAAACACATTGTCCAAAGGGCAGGTAGCTCTCTTATTTCAATTCCAGATGAGAGGACAGTGTGGCAGAGAGTTACACTGAAATTAAAAAATTTCATAATGAATTTGTGTGCTCATTGATGAAGGCAGGATGAATTTTTAGTTCTCCCTTCTGAAGGCCACTGATAGAATCCTTGCAGTGACTTACAGACTTTTAAAGGCTACTGCTAGAAGCTCATCCTCGATCATTACCATCAGATGCACGAAATTGAAAGTAGAGGCTGGCCGGATTCATCACTTAGTGGTTCCCATTTCTTCTGCCCTGACCATGACCAGATATTTTGTCGAGGTTGTTGAGACTCTCTTCATAACAGTCTGATAAGCTGAGAATAAACATGACCACCCAATAGATAAGGAAATAGAAGGTTAGAGAGGTCAAGTGACTTTTCCAAGGTCACACAGTAGATGGGACTGAGATTCAAACATCCAAAGTCACCAGATTTTTCTGCAGTATTTAATAGTTTCTACATTACCTCATTTAAAACCTCCCTTACTGGTATGGTATACCTAATGGTATACTTAAGTGTACCATTTCTTCAGAATTTCATTTCCAGTCTTGGAGAAGTAGTTCCCACACCCAGATTTAGTTGGATCCACAGCCGAAGGAGAAGATGAAGTCAAGAGATTCCCTTCCATTTTCAGAGAACGTGGACTGGCAGTTTGTACTGCTCACCAGTCCCACTTTGATCATGACATCCACAGGATGTTAACAGATTTTTAAAGCTTCTTGCCATATGCTTGGATTGCCTTCGTTTGGGGAAATCCCACTGGAAACAGTAAAGAGATTTATCTTGCTCTTGTTTTGATTGTCAAAGAACCACATACGATTTGATGTATTCTTTCTAATTTATTTTAAAACCACATTGATTCACAAATGATACAGAGCCAGACCCCGGGGAAGTATTTTAAATGTGTTTTAGCATCTTGCCGGCGTCCACTTCTGGGGCTCTCCTGGGTCTCTTTCCCAAGAACCCCACCCTCAGCCGTGTCCGCATCCGTCTGCCACATGGGCGATGATGGAGGGGAAGCCCTTCCAGCAGGATTTGCCCACCGAAGGCAGGCGTGGTTGGCACCTGCAGCAGCGAGAGGAAGGCCGTGCTCCTAGAGTCGCCCCATCTAGACTGCCACTTGTTTGGCTGTCTCCTGACAGTAGCTGTGATCCTGTGATTTAGCTGCAGTCATTTTTTCTCCTTGAGTTCTGACTGAGAGACCAGAACAGCTCCCTCAAAACTTCTGACCTTGCAGAGCTACTCGGTACCAAGCCCAGGTCATGATGAGAATCCCTTTACTGAAGAGCTTGCTTGAACTCTTGTTGGCAAGAGAAGTCCCATCACATGTGAGCGTGTGTCAGGCCATTTTGAGCTGCGGATAACAGGATCGATCCGCTTTGGGTTAAGTAGGAAAGAAAAGCTTAGGAGAGGATAGTAGGCAGGGAAGACCAGGGGAAAGGTCTCAAGGCTGGCTCAGTGCTCAAAGCCAGGCTTCTGATGGGGTTGGCGAGATGCCAACTGCGTCGTTGCTACCCCACAGCTTCCCGCACCACTGCCTGAGTTGGTGCCGTCGTTCAAGGCCTCCCGCCGCTACCTGCGCCCACATCACTGTGCCCCCAAAAGCCTCTTCCACCCTTGGCTTACTTCCAAACCAGTCTTCAATGTCCATGTCTGATCGGTGGGACCCGGGTCACATGCCTGTGTCTAGCTGTGAGAAAAGCCGGGGAAGGTGGTTTTTAAGATTCTATTTTGGGAGGGTGGGACTAAAATGGTGGGACCCTATCAAAAAGAAGAGAGGGTGTTCACAAGATGCGGTCAGCCGCAAGTGACAGGTGTCTTCTCTCCGTTTTGCCCCTAAAAAGAATTTCCTCGTTGATTTCTGCCCATTGCTGTTCTAGGGAACAGTTATCACCCAGCTGGGGCTTCTGGGAAAGCAGAGCCAGGTGTGTGCAAACAGCGAAGACACAGATTGCCTTTGAGAGGTGACACTGCTCGGAAATCACTGCAGCAGAGCAGGGTGCTCAGGGGGATCATCCAAAGGGAAGGAAGCAATACTGCTTTCAGATTTGTTCTTACAAGAGCACAGTCTTCTTTTGTGAAGTGCTGCAGGGTGATTTGGCCGTCGCTGCTCACGATCGGAGGTTCAGTGACACACCAGGCAGGCATTTGGAGCAGTGCGGTGTAATTGCCAGCCCCACAATGCCCCCCGTTCAGTTCCTACTGGGGCTATTTGATCATTCCGGAGCATTTTTACCAAGCTGTAATATGCAGGGAGTAATGGCAGTAAAACATGGGATTTACATTATTCATTTTCTCAGCCACAGGCTGCTTCAATCAGACCCTGGAATAGTGCTTCCAGGGAAACCCGCAGCGATGAACTATTGCCATCCCCGCAGCAGGAGGACTGTGGTCGTGGCATGTGCTGGAAAGACTCTAGCTTCCCCTTTTGGGGATTTGTGTTTGCCAAGGAATCACTTCCTTAGTTAGACGCAGATAAAACACAGAAACATCTATTTCCCCCTGAATTCCCTTCCTCTCCACTCAGCCCACCTACCCCATATACCATGCAGCCTGATTGACAGAAGAGGTGGATCTAACCACAGGTGGATCGGGGAGCCTCTAGGAAGAGCGATTACAGAGTTCTGCTACACGAGTTCCCTGGCATTTCAATTTGCTGTTTTGTTCTTGACATCATTAAGTCACTCCAGTAATTGTTCCACTTTTGGCATAGTTGGTGATATCAAATTATGATTGTGGATGGGGGTGGAGTGAGCACAGACAAGGAAACGGGCCACGTGGGTTCACTTTCGGCCACATGTCGAGGGGGAAAAGGCAGAGAAGACAGCCTTCCACACCAGCCTCCTCCGTCTTTGCTCTCTCCTGAGAAGAACAGAACTCTCCACGCAGTCAGAAACACGAATTTGCTTCCAGGATCTGTGAATCAGCTGAAGGGAGAGGGTCCAAGTCCTGTTATTATTTTATGGCCAAACTGTTAAAACAGAGCCTGCATCCACGTGAGAAGACATGTTTGTGCAGCCAGATGAAAAACAACAGGTGGTTTCTTTCTTGGGCCTTTTCTTCTTCATCTTAAAGGCTTTGCTCTCCCTTTAATTAATTCGCTGGGTTTTTATGGTCTAAGAGCATGTGTTATATAAGTGTTGATTCATCTCTTTCCTGGTTTCTTAGTTTCTTCATTTCCAAAATGTGAAACAGTTCTTCAATGTAATCCAGATAAAAATCAAGATCTTTCTAGCTCTTTGACATCTTCCCCAAGAGTGTTGTCTGGATTTTTTAGTTCATCTCCTGAGAGATATTAAAATATTAACATTACACATTGAGCATGGTTCTATATCATTTGAATTTTGAAAAATCTTTTTACCTCCTAACTTACTTGGTTCTAAGCGTTTTTTGGTTTTGGGTTTTTTAAATCCTCACCCCGAGGACATTTTTGCATTTATCTTCAGATAGAGCAGGAGGGAGAGAGGGAGGAAGGGAGAGAGAGAGAAACATCGATGTGAGGGAGACAAAGTGAGTGGCTGCCACCCACACGACCCCAATTGGGGCCAGGGAAAAACTGCAACCGAGGTGCGTGCCTTTAGCAGGAACCGAACCCGGGCCTCTCTGGTCTGTGGGCTGACGCTCTAATCACTAAACCAAACCGGCCAGGGCTGATTCTAAGAGTTTTTTAATGTGTATTTTAAAATACAAAGATTTACTTTGATATTAATTAGGTATTTAGTTATTTCTTCCACATATAGGATTTCCCCTACAGATTTATACCAGTGGTGGACAACCCAGGTCCTCTCCTTTGGGAGAATGGGGCACTTGTGACTTGTATCTGTATTGATTAAGGATTGCATTCGGATACATATACAAACCAAACCAAACCTAATGCCCATGCCGCCTTAAAGAGGCTAGAGATTTGCCATCTCTCGGCCTGCCGGATCTGTGCAACGCAACGAAACTACAAGCACTTGGAGTGTAGGGGAGCTTTGCAAGGCAGCAAATGCTCCAGATCTTAGGCTGCCGTCCCATTTATTTGCAGATTGGTACCCCCAGGTTATAGTTTCAAGTGGATTTATGTAAATTATTTCCTTGAGATGGCTTCTCTGTAGACTACACAGCCTAGTTTTATCTCTTGCTTTTTACAGTGGAAAAAGGCAGTTGAAACTAAAAGATAACAAGCACAGACATTCTTGAGTCCTAGGACCCATTAGTCCACCCATGCAAACCTTATCTTATTCGCATGCAAATGAAGCACTCAATTGCACCTGGGCTGGCCAGATAGTGAGATTGCATGAACACCAGGTTACAAATCGTCTATCTTCCAACCCCCCAACCCTGCAGAGAGTTAATTTCCCCTCGTAGCATAAGAAGCCTTGGGGCTAGCAATCCGGAGCCAGTGCAATAATCTAAGGATTCAGAGCCAAATCTTTTGTGATTTTCTTAAGTTTTCTTTCATAATCAGTCACAGGACGGCTGCTGCAGGTTCAGCCAGCACACCCCACCCAACGTCATCCAGGAAGAAGGCAAACTAGCAGAGGCAGAGGCCTGCCTACATCCTGAAAACAAAGCTTTCTCAGAAATCCTTCACCTTTGTCTTTTGGTCAGAACTGTGTTGACCAGTTCCAGCAGCAAAAGAGGGTGAGAAGTGCAGTTTTCAGCTAGGGACATCGCTAACCGCCCCCAACACTCACACCCCCCCCAAAGAAAAACCCATGCTTTTCTTCATAAGAAAAAGGAAAGACTGGATGTTGGGAGGGCACAGTTGGCCACGCCAGCTATTA